TCCTGTGGAAGTAGAAATAGTGGACATTAATGACAATACACCCCGATTCTTAAAGGAAGAATTGGAAGTGAAAATTCTCGAAAACGCAGCTCCATCCTCTCGTTTTCCACTAATAGAGGTCTATGACCCTGATGTGGGAAATAACTCCCTTCAGGGCTTTAAGCTCAGCAGCAATAGTCACTTCTCAGTGGACATGCAAAGCGAAGCCCATGGGCCCAAGTACCCGGAGCTGGTGCTCGAGGGCACCCTGGACCGGGAAGGAGAAGCCGTTTACCACCTGGTCCTTACTGCCATGGATGGCGGTGACCCTGTCCGCTCAAGCGTCGCCCGAATTCTGGTAACAGTTCTAGATGCAAATGACAACGCTCCAGTGTTTACTCAGCCCGTCTACCGTGTAAGTGTTCCTGAAAACTTGCCAGTAGGCACACCAGTGTTAGCAGTAAATGCCACCGACCGGGATGAAGGAGTCCACGGGGAAGTAACTTATTCCTTTGTGAAGATTACAGAAAAGATCTCACAAATTTTTAGTTTGAATGCTTTGACTGGAGAGATTTCAACTTCTGCAAATCTAGACTATGAGGACTTGAGCTTTTATGAGCTGGATGTTGAAGCCCGAGATCAGCCAGGTCTTCGAGACAGAGCGAAAGTCTTAATAACTATCTTGGATGTCAATGATAATGTACCAGAAGTGGTTGTTACATCTGGAAGCAGAACAATTGCTGAAAGTGCGCCTCCAGGAACAATAATCGCTCTTTTTCAAGTGTTCGATCGAGACTCTGGACTGAATGGTCTGGTCACCTGTTCCATCCCGAGAAGTCTCCCATTTGAATTGGAAAAATCAGTTGACAATTATTATCGATTAGTGACAAATGCAGCTCTAGACCGGGAAGAGGTGTCCTTGTACAACGTCACTGTGACAGCCACAGACAAAGGAACACCATCTCTGTCTACAGAAACAATCATCTCCCTAAATGTGGCAGACACCAACGACAACCCACCCACCTTCCCCCACTCATCCTACTCAGTCTATGTCCTTGAAAACAACCCCAGGGGCGCCTCCATCTTCTCTGTGCATGCACTGGACCCTGACGTGGACCAGAACGCCCGAGTCGCCTACTCACTGGCAGAAGACACCCTTCAGGGGGCGCCCCTGTCCTCCTACGTGTCCATCAACTCTGACACTGGCATTCTGTACGCCCTGCGCTCCTTCGATTATGAGCAGTTGAGAGACCTACAGCTGTGGGTGACAGCCAGCGACAGCGGGGACCCGCCCCTCAGCAGCAATGTATCCTTAAGCGTGTTCGTGCTGGACCAGAACGACAATGCGCCCGAGATCCTATACCCCGCCCTCCCCACAGATGGTTCCACTGGCGTGGAGCTGGCGCCCCGCTCCGCAGAGCCCGGCTACCTGGTGACCAAGGTGGTGGCGGTGGACAGAGACTCGGGCCAGAACGCCTGGCTGTCCTACCGCCTGCTCAAGGCCAGCGAGCCCGGACTCTTCGCGGTGGGGCTGCACACGGGCGAGGTGCGCACGGCGCGGGCCCTGCTGGACAGAGACGCGCTCAAGCAGAGCCTCGTGGTGGCCGTCCAAGACCACGGCCAGCCCCCACTCTCGGCCACTGTCACGCTCACCGTGGCCGTGGCCGACAGCATCCCCGAAATCCTGGCCGACCTGGGCAGCCTTGAACCCTCAGAGGGTTCTCACAACTCAGACCTCACGCTGTACCTGGTGGTGGCGGTGGCCGTGGTCTCCTGCGTCTTCCTGGCCTTCGTCATCGTGCTGCTGGCGCTCAGGCTGCGGCGCTGGCACAAGTCACGCCCGCTGCAGACTTCGGGAGGTGGCTTGGCGAGCGTGCCGGGTTCTCACTTTGTGGGCGTGGACGGGGTGCGGGCTTTCCTGCAGACCTATTCCCACGAGGTCTCCCTCACCGCGGACTCGCGGAAGAGTCACTTGATCTTCCCTCAGCCCAACTATGCAGACACGCTCATCAACTCGGAGAGCTGTGAGAAAAGCGAGCCTCTTCTGATAACTCAGGATTTACTCGAAACGAAAGGAGACCCCAAGCAACTTCAGGTGAGTTTATTTCCGCAGAAGCGGAAGAGTCATTTGATCTTCCTGCAACCCAACTATACAAACACGCTCATCAGCCAGAACGGCTGGAAGAGAAGTGAACTCTTTTGGTACAGGAAGATTCATGATTTTGTAAAGCGGAAGATTCCCTTGTTCAGGTGAGGGTATTGTTTTTATTGGTTGACGAGGATTAAAAATTATCTTTGATTAGTGCTTAGTTTTCTTAGTCCTTTGCAGGGAATCATATAATTTTAATGTTTTTCTTTCATAAGGAAAGATTGTTCTTAAGTCTTAATTTTGTGGGGGGAAATAATGCATGTCCTAGTTTTTCTTTATCTCTCTCTTCTTGGCAAGCTGTGTCTCAGATCGAGTGCATCTCATTTCTTAGGTTTTTCCTACTATGTGACATTTGTAAGGTTCTTTCTTTTTCTGATGTGGGAAAATAACCTTAATTTAGGTCTGTATTACAGAAGATCAAGATCTTGGTTGTGGGTAGAGTGGTGGCTCACACCTGTAATCCCACCTCTTTAGGAGGCTGAGACGGGAGGATCCCTTGAGGCTAGGAGTCTGAGACCAGCTTGAGTGACATAGCAGGACTCTGTCTCTATCAAAAAAAAAAAGAAATTAGCCAGATGTTGTGGTATGTGCCTGTAGTACCAGCTACTGGGGAATCTCTGATAGGAGGCTTATTTAGGGGTCCTTGTCCAAGGTTCTGAGTCTGCAGTGAGCTATAACTGTGCCACTGCACTCTAGCCTGGGAGACAGAATGAGACTCTCTCTCAAGGAAAAAAAAATATTTTGTTTTTTCTCAGTGTTACTTAATAATTATTAATGACAGAGGTTCATATGACAGATGTTTCACCTTTAGTACCTAGAAATCAAAATTATTTTTAAAAAGATAGGAATCATTGAAAACTGCAGCAGGGAACACCTGATTTTTGGTGTTAGAACTATCTGTTATTTACTTGGGCCAGTTACAGTCACTATTATCTTCCAATTAAAATTAAGATTAAAAAGACTTACCAGAGATAGGATCTCCCTCTGTTGCCCAGGCTGGAGTAAAATCCACTTGTAACTGCTGCTCATAGAGTGTGTATCCAGGGCAACTCGAATCTATGTTCCTGGGTTGCAATCCTCAAGTCTGGCCCAAATAAATTCTACTTATATTATCTTTTAAAACAAGACTTTCTTTATCTATCTAACTCAGATTCTAAGAAAATAATTTTATGAGACTTCTTTCAAACTATAAAGCAGTATAGTGAACAAATATTTGTTGACATCACCATTATTATAACAATTAGGTTGTTAACAAATAACTGTAAGTACCCGATGCTGTGTGCCTACTATAATGTCTTTTGCATACTGTGTGCCTCATAGTATTTAAGAGTAAAAATTAATTTTAAATCATGCTTGGTAGTGTCTGCTTACAGGGAATATCTCTAAAAATAGATGACTGAATGGCAAATGGGAGAACAAATTTAATGGGGTTCAAATAAAAAGTTAAATATTTCAGCATTTTAACCCAGACAATAAGGCTTCCATCGTATAGAAACTCTTTATTGAAATATTTCAAGAAAAATGGGACTATCATTTAGAAGAATGATTAGTCTTATTTATTATGACTGAAACATGCAAACAAAATCATTGTTTCATGAACAGAAAACAGCAAAGCTTTTTACTATTAACGATGTTCGAAAAGAAAATGGATCACTAAGGAGGTAGGAGATTCTGTTATCAGCAGTCTTCAGAAGTTAAGTTGGTGGCCCTGGAATTCATGGAGCACAGAGGATTCTATAATTTGATGAGTTGTTGAACGACATTATAGTCAAGATTTTTTTCCAGTCATGAGTTGGAAGATTCTCCAATCTAGTGTTATTGTAGAATGGATTGGCCACTTGTGCATCTAAATTTATTATGCGTGTGTAAGAAAAAAGTAATTGAGAAAATATCTCGAAAATAAATGAGAACCTTCTTTGTAACCTGACTTTGTCAGTCTTCATAACAATAACATTGAGTTGATATTTCTTTAAATAAGGTGCTAAGAATAATACATGTTTTTCTAAACCAATATTGTGGCATTTACAGTTAAGGAATTATTATAGAATTATTTATTTCAAGTTTCCAAATGTATATACCTAACCAAGAAATCAAATCATCCACATTTTCCAATCTAATTTGCTTGTACATTTGCTATATAATTTGATAAAATAACAATTTTAAACAACTTGAATCTTGGATATTAGTCTCATGAGTTAGGCGGCCTGTTACACATGTGATGATTTATTTCATAAATTCTGAGCGTATGAATGTTATTTTACTGTATCACCAATTGAGGATGTTAAACTACATCTTAAACATTCGTTGTTATAGGCAAAGCTCACTAACTACTTTTTGTGGATCTCAGGCTGGTTTACTTTATTCTCTTATTACCTGTGACCATTTCATTTAAACAAATAAAACATTTCACTGAAGGAAAAACTACCAACTTCTACTTTCACAAAACTCAATTCATTCATGTGGACTGACTATTAAACATCCTGGTAACCATGGAATTGGCTAAGTTCTGACTGAGTTTCTTTGATCCACGTGCAATACAGATCATTAAGAATAAGATAGGTTGTCTGAGATTTGAGAGTTCAGTATGGAATTTTGAAGCATCAGGGAAAAATATCTACCAAATTATTGGATTATTTTATTGTCTGCAAAAGCCATTCTTTTTTTTTTTTTTTTTTTTTTAACAGAGTCTTGCTGTGTCTCCCAGGCTGGAGTGCAGTGGCACAATCTCTCCTCACTGCAACCTCCTCCTGGGTTCAAGCAGTTCTCTTGCCTCAGCCTCCCAAGTAGCTGGGATTACAGGTGTGTGCCACCATGCCCAGCTAATTTTCGTATTTTAATAGAGATGGGCTTTCACAATGATGGCCAGGCTAGTTTTGAACTCCCGACCTGAAGTGATCCACCTACCTCTGCCTCCCAAAGTATTGGGATTACAGGTATGAGCCACCGAGCCTGGCCTAAAAGCCATTCATTTCTCATCAAACTTCTGTTGAGGTGGCAATTGTCAAAGAGGACGGAGTAAAATTTCAGAGGAGAATCATTGGAAAATACCTATATCTTTACTTGAGAATGAAAATCTAAATGGAACTTCAAAGAACTTTTTTGTTTTTAGTTTTTAAAAATGTCCCCCCCCAAAAAAAAGAGAGAAGATAATCAATTTGATACCTGGGAAGCCAAGCAGACTTTACATAGAATATTTTTTTCCTTTTCCTTTTTTTTTTTACCAGGAGAAGCTGGTCTTTCAGGATCAGAGTTTTTTTTTTTTTTTTTTTTTTAATGCAACCATACAAATGGTCAGGATTCTTCCCAATATCTTAGTCAATAATAATATACCCTCTTTAAATTATGAAATGATTTCAATTTGATATGATGAGCTTATGTTGGATTTTATTAAACATATCTTGGTGGTTTAGTAAATATCTTTAATATTTAATTTTATGATGTGCGATAACTCAGAAAATGTGAATGTTGGAGAGAATGAAGACATTTACTTGCTAAGGTGTGTATCCTTTGTGTTCAGAGTAGCCTATAATTTAACTAGATGTTATTTCTTTCTCTCCAAAGAAGGTACCAAGACACAATAAGTTAATTAAGACTTTTTAAAAACAATAGACTAAGAAACAAATGTGAGATGAAACTATGAATTTTGAGGCATCAGATAGAAATGGATCAAGACATTGAGAGCTGTAACCTCCAAACATGAAAGTTTGTTTGAAAATGTCTGCAAGTATTTGTGTTATTTAATGATCTTACACTTTGCTTGCTTCAACAAGAAGTTAAAAAGTACTACTAAACAAATAGAATTTAACTCCAGTTTACAGAATTCGTCTATAATACCTCTGTTAATACATCCATAATACCTTAAACTTATCCACTTTCATTCAATAGTCTTCCAGTTTGACAAAGTCAATACAGGGCATGTAGTGTATATTACACAATACTCCTTCTAAGCCTAGGACACTGCCCTATAATTGTATACTGGAATACAAAGTATAAATAAATATTAATACTAAGCAGGTAAATGAAGAATATGCATATCTTTATATTAGTTAAAGTGATGTTTCAATGCTTAATTAAGTTCAAGTTAGACAGATTTTACCACCAAAATACATTAAAATAAATTTTAAGATTTCAAAAAAAGAATTTATCTACTTTGTGAATGCAAACATAACTGTGGATTATTTTGATAGATCAAAGCAGAATTTCCTTGAAAGTGTTTCCCATATTCTGGAGCAATGCCACCAGAAAGCATAAATAGGTTACTTAGGAGCCTCCCACAAAACTGTTAAGCTTTCTTAGTGTTAGCTCTGGGTTCTCCTCCTGGTTCCGCCAGCTACTCTCCAGGACCTGAAATAATTTACAAAGCAAGACTGTTTCTTGGCAGTTCTTTATTCCAGAGTATGTCATTTTTTTTTTTATTCTGCAAATGTGTGAAAGGAACTTTCTTTTATTTCTGCTAGTAACGGGTAGCCTCGGAACCATCAATAATTTAGTTTTACTCTATCAACATCAATGGAGAAATGAGTGCCTCTAAGGATCCTCTCAGGATAGTCCTGCATTTAGCTCAGATACTGTCTAGAGATCCTTTTTTTCTCAATTACACTAGAATAGGGTAGGATGAAGATTTGAATTGCATGCTAAGATGAAGACTTGAATTGCATAATGAAAAGAATCAGCCAATCCATTATCCACTTTCTTATGAATTCACAGCCCAGTAGGATCTCTGCAGATTTCTGCCTTCTGTAGAAAATGGGTTGCTTCTATAGCTGATTGTTATAGCCAAGACCAACAATTATTTCTTTCTTTTCTCATAAGACTGGGAGTGAGAATATTTGGATTTCTACAACATTCCGCTACTATATAATCATGAGCAAGGCAATTCTCTCTCATTTTTTTAAATGGTCAAAATAAAGGTGTTATACCATCTCTAAGGTTCTATAAAATCAAAAATGTATTAGAATATGTCTATATCTTTTACAACAATTTTGACTTTCTGAATCTTGCATGATGGTGTCTAGGATATATGTGTTCAATTCATATTGAATTAATTAAAATTTATATACACTGATGTAAATATTTTCTACATAAAATCTTTCATACGTATTTAAACAAAGTTTACCTTTTTGCCTTCAATAGCTGATTTTCCTATGTGCAATAACGTGTTAGTCAGTGCCCAAAAGAGTCACTTGAAAGTTGCAAGGCAAAGCAGAGTTTTTAAAAAATTATCTAAGATTATCAAACATCTGTCCATAAACACTGTTACAGTAATTCAGCGTCTTAAAATGGATTTTTAAATTATCAGGGATATCTAGAGTGAAGAAACTTAACAGGGAAATTTTGAAAGATGAAATTTTCTATGAAATCAGTGTATTGTGCATCAATCTGGTGCAGTAACTTAGTAAGGACTCAGAGCGCCGCTGTTCACCAACCAGGGAAAAATGGTGCGAGAGATCCCACAGAAACCACCGAGTTTTACAGCACTGAGAAACGACAGATTGCGGTAGGCCCTCTCCCAGGCTGCACTAAACTCAAGCCTCTATCCTGCGGATTCTGAGCTCCCTTTCCGAAGACAGAGGGGGCCACCAGGACACACTCGCACGCATTCAGAAGCACTTCCCGAGACGGGCGTCTAAGCAAAAGGAGCAGGAAGACTATGGCGGCTCAGCCGTGGGGCGGGGACTGCAGAGGATTCGTTCTGCTCTCCATCCTCCTGGGGACCCTGTGGGAAGCCTGGGCAGGACGTATTCTCTACTCAGTGTCGGAGGAGACTGACAAAGGGTCCTTTGTGGGTGACATCGCCAAGGACCTGGGGCTGGAGCCCCGGGAGCTTGCGGAGCGCGGAGTCCGCATCGTCTCCAAAGGTAAGACGCAGCTTTTCGCCCTGAACCCGCGCAGCGGTAGCTTGGTCACTGCGGGCAGGATAGACCGGGAGGAGCTCTGCGCTCAGAGCCCGCGATGTCTGGTGAACTTTAACATCCTGATGGAAGATAAAATGAATCTTTACCCTATAGACGTGGAAATAATAGATATTAATGACAACGTTCCAAGATTCTTGACGGAAGAAATAAATGTAAAAATAATGGAGACTGCAGCTCCTGGGGTTCGATTTCCGTTAAGTGAGGCTGGGGATCCAGATGTGGGCACGAACTCCCTCCAGAGCTACCAGCTCAGCCCCAATCGCCACTTCTCCCTGGCTGTGCAAAGTGGAGACGACGGAACTAAGTACCCGGAACTGGTACTGGAGCAATTGCTGGACCGGGAGGAAGAGAGGATTCACCACCTGGTCCTCACAGCCTCTGACGGCGGCGACCCGCCCCTATCCAGCACCGCCCGCATCCAGGTAACAGTGGTGGATGTCAATGACCACGCGCCTGTCTTCTCTCTGCCTCAGTACCAAGTAACTGTCCCCGAGAATGTGCCAGTGGGCACAAGACTGCTCACAATACATGCTATCGACCTGGACGAGGGAGTCAATGGGGAAGTGACATATTCCTTTAGGAAAATAACCCCTAAACTTCTACAGATGTTCCATCTAAACTCACTTACTGGAGAATTATCAACTTTAGAAGGATTCGATTATGAAGAAACTGCCTTCTATGAAATGGAAGTTCAGGCTCAAGATGGTCCTGGTAGTCTGACAAAGGCGAAAGTACTGATCACAGTTTTAGACATGAATGATAATGCTCCAGAAGTGACTGTGACTTCTTTAAGTAGCTCAATCCCTGAAGACACACCTCTTGGGACAGTAATTGCTCTTTTCTACCTGCAAGACAGAGATTCTGGAAAGAATGGTGAGGTGACCTGCACCATTCCAGAAAATCTACCTTTTAAATTAGAAAATTCAATAGATAATTATTATAGATTGGTCACAACCAAAAACTTGGACCGGGAAACACTTTCTATGTATAATGTCACACTGAAAGCCACAGATGGTGGGACTCCTCCCCTGTCAAGGGAAACTCACATCTCCGTGCAGGTGGCAGACACCAATGACAACCCACCCACCTTCCCTCACTCCTCCTATTCAGTCTACATTCCTGAGAACAACCCCAGAGGGGCCTCCATTTTCTTGGTGACTGCACAGGACCACGACAGTGAGGAGAATGCCCAGGTCACTTATTCCTTGGCTGAAGACACCATCCAGGGGGCACCAGTGTCCTCGTATGTCTCCATAAACTCTGACACTGGAGTCCTGTATGCACTGCAATCCTTTGACTATGAGCAGTTGAGAGAACTACAACTGAGAGTGACTGCACGTGACAGCGGGAACCCACCTCTCTGCAGCAACACGTCACTGAACCTTTTCGTGCTGGACCAGAACGACAATGCGCCCGAGATCCTGTACCCCGCCCTCCCCACAGATGGTTCCACTGGCGTGGAGCTGGCGCCCCGCTCCGCAGAGCCCGGCTACCTGGTGACCAAGGTGGTGGCAGTGGACAAAGATTCAGGCCAGAACGCCTGGCTGTCCTACCGCCTGCTGAAGGCCAGCGAGCCTGGACTCTTCGCGGTGGGGCTGCACACGGGCGAGGTGCGCACGGCGCGGGCCCTGTTGGACAGAGACGCGCTCAAGCAGAGCCTCGTGGTGGCAGTCCAGGACCACGGCCAGCCCCCTCTCTCGGCCACCGTCACGCTCACCGTGGCTGTGGCCGACAGCATCCCCGAAGTCTTGGCCGACCTGGGCAGCCTTGAGCCCTCCGACGATCCTTACAACTCTCACCTCACGCTGTACCTGGTGGTTGCGGTGGCTGTGGTCTCCTGCGTCTTCCTGGCCTTCGTCATCGTGCTTCTGGCGCTCAGGCTGCGGCGCTGGCACAAGTCAAGGCTGCTGCAGGCTTCCGAAGGTGGCTTGGCAAGCATGCCGGGTTCGCACTTTGTGGGCGTGGACGGGGTGCGGGCTTTCCTGCAGACCTATTCCCACGAGGTCTCCCTCACTGCTGACTCGGGAAAGAGTCACCTGATCTTCCCCCAGCCCAACTATGCGGACACACTCATCAGCCAGGAGAGCTGTGGGAAAAACGATTTGCTAACATCTGTAGATTTTCATGAATGCAAATACGAAGTGCCAAGTATTCAGGTGAGCCCAGCCCTTCCTTTATTTCAGTGAGGAATTTGTTTGCATGATATTTCTCTATTATTTTGCAAAACCAGTGTTTTGAAAATAGGGATTTAAAAAGTTTTATAGAGGTAAAAATGAGTTTCCCAGTTTCCTTCAGTGGTGATACTTTAATGCAGAACGCATAGGAGATAGTATCATTTCTTTAGTGAAAGCCTATGGACAAGATTATGAATAAGTGGTCTATTGCATTTTATAATTTCCACCTACTTTCCAATCTGTTTTCCAACCTACTTTCTTAAATGAGAATGAATCGAGTCTTTCATATTGCACGAGGTTAGCAGGAATAAAACAGACCTCAGCTGCCTTCTTAGGATTCTCTTTAGCATTCAAAAATATAACAGGTTCTGAAATATTTCTTCCATGTGAAGACTTTTCTGTGCCTGATTCTGCCTTCATGTACCGCAGCTTGGTGGTCCTAAAAAATCTTAATTGCTTCTTGACCTATTTAAAGTATAATCATCTATTAATGCGGTGGTAGTGGAAGGTTAGATTTATGCGTAAAGAATGAAATGTGTGTGTGTCACAGTTCACTAGTCTAATGCCACACTAAAGGCCATCAGACAAAACCAATATACTATGTCAAATGTCATTTGAAGTGTTGTCATTGGCATTTGTGACAAAGGCAGTNATTTCACTGAAGGAAAAACTACCAACTTCTACTTTCACAAAACTCAATTCATTCATGTGGACTGACTATTAAACATCCTGGTAACCATGGAATTGGCTAAGTTCTGACTGAGTTTCTTTGATCCACGTGCAATACAGATCATTAAGAATAAGATAGGTTGTCTGAGATTTGAGAGTTCAGTATGGAATTTTGAAGCATCAGGGAAAAATATCTACCAAATTATTGGATTATTTTATTGTCTGCAAAAGCCATTCTTTTTTTTTTTTTTTTTTTTTTAACAGAGTCTTGCTGTGTCTCCCAGGCTGGAGTGCAGTGGCACAATCTCTCCTCACTGCAACCTCCTCCTGGGTTCAAGCAGTTCTCTTGCCTCAGCCTCCCAAGTAGCTGGGATTACAGGTGTGTGCCACCATGCCCAGCTAATTTTCGTATTTTAATAGAGATGGGCTTTCACAATGATGGCCAGGCTAGTTTTGAACTCCCGACCTGAAGTGATCCACCTACCTCTGCCTCCCAAAGTATTGGGATTACAGGTATGAGCCACCGAGCCTGGCCTAAAAGCCATTCATTTCTCATCAAACTTCTGTTGAGGTGGCAATTGTCAAAGAGGACGGAGTAAAATTTCAGAGGAGAATCATTGGAAAATACCTATATCTTTACTTGAGAATGAAAATCTAAATGGAACTTCAAAGAACTTTTTTGTTTTTAGTTTTTAAAAATGTCCCCCCCCAAAAAAAAGAGAGAAGATAATCAATTTGATACCTGGGAAGCCAAGCAGACTTTACATAGAATATTTTTTTCCTTTTCCTTTTTTTTTTTACCAGGAGAAGCTGGTCTTTCAGGATCAGAGTTTTTTTTTTTTTTTTTTTTTTAATGCAACCATACAAATGGTCAGGATTCTTCCCAATATCTTAGTCAATAATAATATACCCTCTTTAAATTATGAAATGATTTCAATTTGATATGATGAGCTTATGTTGGATTTTATTAAACATATCTTGGTGGTTTAGTAAATATCTTTAATATTTAATTTTATGATGTGCGATAACTCAGAAAATGTGAATGTTGGAGAGAATGAAGACATTTACTTGCTAAGGTGTGTATCCTTTGTGTTCAGAGTAGCCTATAATTTAACTAGATGTTATTTCTTTCTCTCCAAAGAAGGTACCAAGACACAATAAGTTAATTAAGACTTTTTAAAAACAATAGACTAAGAAACAAATGTGAGATGAAACTATGAATTTTGAGGCATCAGATAGAAATGGATCAAGACATTGAGAGCTGTAACCTCCAAACATGAAAGTTTGTTTGAAAATGTCTGCAAGTATTTGTGTTATTTAATGATCTTACACTTTGCTTGCTTCAACAAGAAGTTAAAAAGTACTACTAAACAAATAGAATTTAACTCCAGTTTACAGAATTCGTCTATAATACCTCTGTTAATACATCCATAATACCTTAAACTTATCCACTTTCATTCAATAGTCTTCCAGTTTGACAAAGTCAATACAGGGCATGTAGTGTATATTACACAATACTCCTTCTAAGCCTAGGACACTGCCCTATAATTGTATACTGGAATACAAAGTATAAATAAATATTAATACTAAGCAGGTAAATGAAGAATATGCATATCTTTATATTAGTTAAAGTGATGTTTCAATGCTTAATTAAGTTCAAGTTAGACAGATTTTACCACCAAAATACATTAAAATAAATTTTAAGATTTCAAAAAAAGAATTTATCTACTTTGTGAATGCAAACATAACTGTGGATTATTTTGATAGATCAAAGCAGAATTTCCTTGAAAGTGTTTCCCATATTCTGGAGCAATGCCACCAGAAAGCATAAATAGGTTACTTAGGAGCCTCCCACAAAACTGTTAAGCTTTCTTAGTGTTAGCTCTGGGTTCTCCTCCTGGTTCCGCCAGCTACTCTCCAGGACCTGAAATAATTTACAAAGCAAGACTGTTTCTTGGCAGTTCTTTATTCCAGAGTATGTCATTTTTTTTTTTATTCTGCAAATGTGTGAAAGGAACTTTCTTTTATTTCTGCTAGTAACGGGTAGCCTCGGAACCATCAATAATTTAGTTTTACTCTATCAACATCAATGGAGAAATGAGTGCCTCTAAGGATCCTCTCAGGATAGTCCTGCATTTAGCTCAGATACTGTCTAGAGATCCTTTTTTTCTCAATTACACTAGAATAGGGTAGGATGAAGATTTGAATTGCATGCTAAGATGAAGACTTGAATTGCATAATGAAAAGAATCAGCCAATCCATTATCCACTTTCTTATGAATTCACAGCCCAGTAGGATCTCTGCAGATTTCTGCCTTCTGTAGAAAATGGGTTGCTTCTATAGCTGATTGTTATAGCCAAGACCAACAATTATTTCTTTCTTTTCTCATAAGACTGGGAGTGAGAATATTTGGATTTCTACAACATTCCGCTACTATATAATCATGAGCAAGGCAATTCTCTCTCATTTTTTTAAATGGTCAAAATAAAGGTGTTATACCATCTCTAAGGTTCTATAAAATCAAAAATGTATTAGAATATGTCTATATCTTTTACAACAATTTTGACTTTCTGAATCTTGCATGATGGTGTCTAGGATATATGTGTTCAATTCATATTGAATTAATTAAAATTTATATACACTGATGTAAATATTTTCTACATAAAATCTTTCATACGTATTTAAACAAAGTTTACCTTTTTGCCTTCAATAGCTGATTTTCCTATGTGCAATAACGTGTTAGTCAGTGCCCAAAAGAGTCACTTGAAAGTTGCAAGGCAAAGCAGAGTTTTTAAAAAATTATCTAAGATTATCAAACATCTGTCCATAAACACTGTTACAGTAATTCAGCGTCTTAAAATGGATTTTTAAATTATCAGGGATATCTAGAGTGAAGAAACTTAACAGGGAAATTTTGAAAGATGAAATTTTCTATGAAATCAGTGTATTGTGCATCAATCTGGTGCAGTAACTTAGTAAGGACTCAGAGCGCCGCTGTTCACCAACCAGGGAAAAATGGTGCGAGAGATCCCACAGAAACCACCGAGTTTTACAGCACTGAGAAACGACAGATTGCGGTAGGCCCTCTCCCAGGCTGCACTAAACTCAAGCCTCTATCCTGCGGATTCTGAGCTCCCTTTCCGAAGACAGAGGGGGCCACCAGGACACACTCGCACGCATTCAGAAGCACTTCCCGAGACGGGCGTCTAAGCAAAAGGAGCAGGAAGACTATGGCGGCTCAGCCGTGGGGCGGGGACTGCAGAGGATTCGTTCTGCTCTCCATCCTCCTGGGGACCCTGTGGGAAGCCTGGGCAGGACGTATTCTCTACTCAGTGTCGGAGGAGACTGACAAAGGGTCCTTTGTGGGTGACATCGCCAAGGACCTGGGGCTGGAGCCCCGGGAGCTTGCGGAGCGCGGAGTCCGCATCGTCTCCAAAGGTAAGACGCAGCTTTTCGCCCTGAACCCGCGCAGCGGTAGCTTGGTCACTGCGGGCAGGATAGACCGGGAGGAGCTCTGCGCTCAGAGCCCGCGATGTCTGGTGAACTTTAACATCCTGATGGAAGATAAAATGAATCTTTACCCTATAGACGTGGAAATAATAGATATTAATGACAACGTTCCAAGATTCTTGACGGAAGAAATAAATGTAAAAATAATGGAGACTGCAGCTCCTGGGGTTCGATTTCCGTTAAGTGAGGCTGGGGATCCAGATGTGGGCACGAACTCCCTCCAGAGCTACCAGCTCAGCCCCAATCGCCACTTCTCCCTGGCTGTGCAAAGTGGAGACGACGGAACTAAGTACCCGGAACTGGTACTGGAGCAATTGCTGGACCGGGAGGAAGAGAGGATTCACCACCTGGTCCTCACAGCCTCTGACGGCGGCGACCCGCCCCTATCCAGCACCGCCCGCATCCAGGTAACAGTGGTGGATGTCAATGACCACGCGCCTGTCTTCTCTCTGCCTCAGTACCAAGTAACTGTCCCCGAGAATGTGCCAGTGGGCACAAGACTGCTCACAATACATGCTATCGACCTGGACGAGGGAGTCAATGGGGAAGTGACATATTCCTTTAGGAAAATAACCCCTAAACTTCTACAGATGTTCCATCTAAACTCACTTACTGGAGAATTATCAACTTTAGAAGGATTCGATTATGAAGAAACTGCCTTCTATGAAATGGAAGTTCAGGCTCAAGATGGTCCTGGTAGTCTGACAAAGGCGAAAGTACTGATCACAGTTTTAGACATGAATGATAATGCTCCAGAAGTGACTGTGACTTCTTTAAGTAGCTCAATCCCTGAAGACACACCTCTTGGGACAGTAATTGCTCTTTTCTACCTGCAAGACAGAGATTCTGGAAAGAATGGTGAGGTGACCTGCACCATTCCAGAAAATCTACCTTTTAAATTAGAAAATTCAATAGATAATTATTATAGATTGGTCACAACCAAAAACTTGGACCGGGAAACACTTTCTATGTATAATGTCACACTGAAAGCCACAGATGGTGGGACTCCTCCCCTGTCAAGGGAAACTCACATCTCCGTGCAGGTGGCAGACACCAATGACAACCCACCCACCTTCCCTCACTCCTCCTATTCAGTCTACATTCCTGAGAACAACCCCAGAGGGGCCTCCATTTTCTTGGTGACTGCACAGGACCACGACAGTGAGGAGAATGCCCAGGTCACTTATTCCTTGGCTGAAGACACCATCCAGGGGGCACCAGTGTCCTCGTATGTCTCCATAAACTCTGACACTGGAGTCCTGTATGCACTGCAATCCTTTGACTATGAGCAGTTGAGAGAACTACAACTGAGAGTGACTGCACGTGACAGCGGGAACCCACCTCTCTGC